GCCCGGCCCCAGGGTGCTCAGGGTCTGGGCAGGGGTGTGTGTGTGCGGGGGGCGGGTCTTGGCTGCCACTTCCCTGAGCAGTAAGGGGCATCCTCCACCCTGGGCAGCCCGGAAGCCCTGCCTGCCCTGGCCCATGGCCATCCCCCAGCCATGCCCACCTCTCCTCCCTGGACTCACCCACGTTGAAGATGTAGAGCGGCAGCCAGTAGAGGAAGGTGTAACTGACCAGCTTGGCGAAGAGCAGGCACAGGGAGAACTCGACCACGCCCTGCGGGCGCAACGACAGAGGCCAACAGGGCTGAGTGCCCAGCGGGCGTCCCCCACCCACATGGGGACCACGGAGTGTGCGGGAAGGGCCCTGCTCACTGCTCAAGCCACCAGGTGCCCGCCCTCCTGGGGGAAACCCTGAGCCCACCAGCGCCGCGGGCCACTCCCCGACGGCACAGCCGTCTCACCGGGATCCGGAGCGCCGCGAGGAAGCTGATGGCAGCAGGCTCTGGGCACGGCTCCTTGGAGCACCTGGCGGCTGTCTCCAGGCCACTCTCCCTGTTGGTGGAGGGACCACTCCCAGGGTCCTCAGGGTCATCCTGCTCGTCCGGCCCAGCCTGCACGGTGTGGGGAGACCCCTTGATGTGGGGACGGCCCTGGGAGGGCTGGGGTCCTGGTAGGGACCTGGGGTCTGGAGGGAAGGAGGCTCTCTCCTGGGCTGGACCAGCCTGTCCTCCACTCCTGCCCTCCCCAGGCACAGCCCTTCTGGGGGGAGTGGGGGGCTCGTACTCACGTGATGCTGGGGAGGGGTGCAGTCCACGTCTTCTGGGTCTGGGAAAAAATGTCTCTGAGGAGCCTCCCGACAGCCCAGGCCTCCCTCACCCAGGTCTGAGCCAGTCCCAGCGTGGCCAGCGTGGGCGCAGGGGCCAGACCAGTCCGTCCACAGCCAGGGCGACGCGGCCGCTGTCCCTGCCTCACTGACACACAGTGGGCAGCGAAGGGGCCTTGCAGAGGGTAGGACACTGGTCACTTCAAAGCCCAGCCTCGCAGCTCTCGGCGACAGCTCAGGTGCGCGGTGCACCGCCACCCGAACCCAGAGTCCCAAGGTGAACCCGCCAGGCACCGCGTGCAACCACAGGCAGCAGTAATTCCTGGGCCCAGGGAGACCATGACCGGGTGGCCACGATGGGCGTAATGAGGTAGCAGCCTGGACTCCCCGTGTTTGTGGTGGCGCTAGGGCACACGCCACCACGCTGCCAGTCACGCAGAGGCCCAGCTCACAGTGGTCCCATGCTTGGGCGCTGTCCCACGTGGCGGAAACCAAATGCCACATGGCTGACCTAGGTTCGCATGTCGGCCCCACAGCTTAAACACACGCTGGGCACGTGCGTGTGCCCCAGACCCCATATGCATGCACACTCCTTGAGAAATGGGGGACAGATTGCAGGGCGGGCACGTCACCGTAGGTGCCCTCTCCTCCCTTTCTCTGCCACCAGCAAGCACACAATCTCCCCATGCAATTAAAAAATGAAAAGAAAGTGTCTTTGTACAATGTGTGTTTTAAGCTGTGTCAAAAGTGTTTTGAAAAACCTCACTGTTGGGGCCAGCAGGTGGCATAGCGCTTAAGACACTGGACTTCTACATGGCTGCCTGCGGCTTGAATCCTGGACCAGGTGGATTGAAAACACACTGGGGTGTGTGCATGTGTGCCCGAGATCCCAGAAGGGAGAAGAAGGGGTTGTAGCGGGCCATCCCCCTGGGGGCAATATTTCACTTTCCCTCTCTCTGTCTCTTTCCAGTGAGTGCACATGCCCTATGGCAAAAACTAAAAACAAAATAAAACCTAAGAATTTACAAGCCAAACCTTCGTAGTGTAAGGAGGCTACAGTAAACTCTGTTCATTTGTTCTTGAAGGGGAAGCGTGTCTTTGCCTAAGCTGAGCGGTGGAAGGTGTGCAGCGCACACGGGTACCGCGGCCTTCACATGCACCCCGCTCACTCACTGGCTCCCCAGAGCGACCTCCAGTCCTGCAGTCCATCCCGGGTGGTCCTACAGGCGTGCACCGTTTTTCCCTTCAACACTATATACGTATTTTTTGAAGTTTTCCCCATAGGGCAAGGGAGCTCGCTAGAGAGAGAGGAAGCCAGAGAAATCGCCCCTGGGGGCCCCCACCACAACCCCATCTCCTCCACTCTCCTCTTGGGTTTTGGGCATGCGCACGCACACGTGCGTTCAAGCCGCCGGTCAGACCTGGAACCGCGGGGGGCCGAGTGGGCGTCCAGCACCTGCTGGCCCCAGCGTCCTGTCCTGCACTTGCTGTCAGACAGCGCAGACGCGCAGCCCTGCGATGCGCTGTGATCCCGAAGGACATGGCTGTGCAGGTGCGCGGTGGGCGGCACTGCCCGGCCCGGGTGTGTGGCGGGTGGGACCGTCCAGGCCAGTGTGACGCCCCTGTGGTGTCCCCACAAGGGCTAACGACCAAACCAGTTCCTCAGGACGTCCCTGTCGTTAAGTGACACGTGCTATCTTGCAAATGGAAGTGCTGTGGTCATGGTCACCGTCCCAACGGCGGGTCCCGCTCCGGGGCTGTCCCACTCACATTCGATGAGGAAGAGGAAGGTGACAACGCCCATGGCGGCCGTGACGACGCCCGGCACGATGAACGACAGGCCCCACTGGCCGTTCACCCAGACGCCGGCGATCAGGGAGCCCAGGATGTTGCCCACCGACGTGTGGGAGTTCCAGACGCCCATGATGAGCCCCCGCCTGGGGAGAGAGCCACGCTCGCAGGACGCCCGGGCGGCGGGGTCAGGGCCCCATGGCCATGGCAGGGAGGCCTGCAAGTGTCCAGTGAGGAAGCAGCTGGGCACGTGGGGGTGGGAGCCGGAGTCCACTCTAGGGCGCTGGGCTTCACCCCAGTGGTGCTGGCAGGGGCACCCCATGCACTGAGCACCCTGCCAGGCAGGCCAGCCCCCCAGCCAGGACGCACCTGCTAAAGCAGCAGGCTGGGAGCAAGAAGCCTCCATAGCACAGTTTTGAGCAGAATCGGTTTTAGGGAGAATGTCCTACAGGTTTCTTTCTGTCTTCATCAACATTAAATTTACCAGGGCCAGCAGGTGGCACGGAGGTTAGGGCACTGGACCACACATGGCTGACTGTGCACGGTTCGAGTCCCGGACCTGGCAGCTTGAAATTCATACCAGGCATATGCACATGTGTACCCAAAATGCCAGAGTCAGGAGAAGAGACCATTGTACGGCCATCCCTCTGGTGGGGGTGACTTCTCACTCCCCCTCCCTCTTGCTCTCTGTCTCTGTCTCTTTCTGGTGAGCACATGTGCCCTACAGCAAAAATTTAAAGAGAGAGAGAATTTACCCATCCAGTAAGGGAAAACAGTAGAGCCGATCTCGGGGTCTCAGGGAACTGGCTCTGGGACCTCGCACTGAAACTGGCGGCCACGCCCCTCCCTCATCTGGCGGTGCGGGGCCTGCACAAAGCAGCCAACACCCCAGACCCTCTCAGGCCGCCTGTCGCAGTGCGGGAGGCTGAGAGGCAGCTGTGGGGGAGCCAGGATGGGGCACAGCGCCCACACGTGCTAGGCCCAGGAGCAGACACGGCAGGTGCCCTACATGGCACTTCCCACAGTGATGGGCGGCCGAGGGCCAAGGGGCTGAGGGGCCGAGGGGCCAGGCCGCCCATCCAGCTCAGCTCTGGGACCGCACAACCCTGCCCTCCCGCTCTGCCCCGCACTCACTTCCCCTTCCCGAACCAGTTGCCAACGCAGGTCACCACAGAGGGCCAGCCTGTGGTTTGGACGAACCCGTTACAGATCTGCAGGGAGACGGGAGGGCTGGGCAGACCCGGCCCAGTGCAGGAGGCCGGTCCTGGCCCGAGGCTGCCCCACCGGCCCTCCCGCACGCACGCCCGTGGGGGAGCACACGAAGCCAGGCCCGCCACTGCCCAGGGTGGCCGCGGGGCAGCAGGGTTAGGGCCCATTCTGTGAGGGCCAGTGTCTACCTGGATGAGGACGAAGTACCAGAGCACGTGGAGGTCCCAGAAGTAGGCCAGGCCAAGCAGCGCGGTGAACAGGCCGCTGAGCAGCATCCCCGCCGACAGGTAGTA